CTCCTCCAGACCTCAAGGGCCAAGGCCCTGGCCAGACGCCAGCTTGTCAAGGAGACTGATTAAAAGCAGCTTTGCTGGGGGTGGATGGCTTGGTGTCCTTGGCCTGGAGTGAAGATCGATAAGCAATTGTTTTTTTCTTGGCAAGAAAAAAATTCTCCATTAACTTTCTCAGGTGCTGCCAGACTAGTTTTCTTTTCAGGAACTCTGCAGCCCTGTCAGAGGCGGCTCCGGGAGGGAGGACAGGCCACTGGAGCTGCCCCCCTGCCCTGGGGGCGGCAGCCCCTATGGCCAGAGCGATGGAACCCACACGAGAGCAGGTTGGCTGGCTTGGACATCAGTACCTCATAGGAACATTCTGGAACCCAGCCTGGCAGGTAGTAGGCATTCGATAGGTAATTGTTGAAAGAATAGCTTTTTGAGCATGTAACCATGTACCAGACATGATACTGCGTGCTTAGCTCATGTAATCCTCATGACTGTTGGGTGAATGCCCATTTTATAGATAAGAAAACTGAGGCTGAGGGAGGCTAAGTCATTTGTATGTGGCTAGTCCAAGCAATGGAGCTTCAAGGGCCCTGCTTTTCCTTTCTTGGGGGATGTGTAACATAACAAGCTGGGCCGCAGAGAACCTTGAACTTGGGTTGGATTCTTTCAGTGATCGGGACACACAGCCAGGAACACACTTCATGATTTCTTTCTCAGACACAGTAAGGGTGGGAGAGGAATAGGAGTGGGACCAGCTGTCTCCTCCTCCTCCTCTTGCCTCAGCCTTCTAGGTTTATTATCCTAACTCCTACCATGGTTACAGTTACCTTCTTTCTTTTAAGAATTCACTTCTGGGGGCGCCTGGCTGGCTCAGTCGGTAGAGCGAGCGACTCTTTTTTTTTTTTTTTTTTAAAGATTTTATTTATTTATTTGAGCGAGAGAGAATGAGAGAGAGTGAGTACATGAGAGGGGGGAGGGTCAGAGGGAGAAGCAGACTCCCTGCCGAGCAGGGAGCCCGATGCGGG